CTAGAGCGGTATTTTGGAGACTGATATGGTCCTTATAACACACACACGTGACTTTTTCCAAACGTTAATTTTTGTGATGTAGTACATATGAAATTGAGAATAATATAAAGGAGCGTCAATTAATTTGGATCAGAGGTCGTAAATACAAGTTTTATTTGCTACCATTTGAGTGAAAATCAAGTCAGCCGTGTAAATAGCAGTTCAATTCTTGTCCCCATGGTTCTTTCTAAAAAAACAGATAGATTTATGCATATGCCACCAAAGATATCGCTGGGTTAAACAAGAGTACTCACCTACGTGCCCAACACCTAGTGCAGATGGATGCCTAATCCTAAGCTGCACTTTTCTTGCCTTGATATAAAAATTTCACTTGTTCCTGTCTGATCTCTTCTCCTAATTAATTAATTAATTAATTATCACACGGGAACACCGGCATAACCAAGGTAATTTAATACTCCAGTGCCACGTGTAGACGATGGACAGATACAGCCATTCACACGACAAAGATCCACACAAGAGGGACCGAATCAAAAATGACTGCATGGTTGTGCCAAAGAGTAACGCATGATCCTTTTCTAAAAATAAGAGTAAAGCATGATAAAATAAAATCCAGTAAGAATAATATTGTACTAATAGAATCTTGTGATTACTTTCAAAGTAATATTCGAGAAATTTAAAACGAGATGAGGAGCCTCCTAGAGTCATGGACAATATATTAAGGAGCCCACCTGGGCGAGATACCAGAATTCGTTTCCGACTGTAATCGAGTCCCACTCAGTAAGGACAAGGATGCGCACTACGACCTTGCCAGTGGGCTATGGGGCATATTGATGTTTAAAACAAAGTTTTGATTAAAAGCAGGAGAAAGTACTCATCGAGGCATTTAAGTTTTTCTAATAAGTTACTAATTGGTTCAACAATTACTTCACCAGTATGTAATTTACACACAGTCTTGCTAAACCTCAGTCGGCCGAGACTTGGTTATGCCTCAGTCAATGCTATATTTGTGAGATCTTACACTTAGATCCGTGCAAAATTACATCGAGATTCGTGAGATCTTACATTGAGACCATATATTAAATAAAACCAACTTTTAAAAGAACTTTCATACAAGAATAATAAAATTACTAGCAAGTCTTTGAAAAAAATCATACAAATAACTTACTTATAGATAGGATTTCATAACACATAAAATTATATTAATAGTGTAATAGTGTTTTTTAGGGAATAGTGTTTTTTTACAATGGTTGTTTAAGTAGTTCTAAAAAATTAAAATGGTGGTAATGAAAGAAAAGGGAGAGAAACCCGAGAGAGGCAGGAGGCAATAAAAGCGAAAGGAGAAGAGGATAAAAGCAGGGGAGGGGGGCCAAACCCCACAACTTTAGAGAGAGAGCGGAGGAGGAAGGCGACGACTCGTGCAGAGTGGGGCCAAAGAGAGAGGGAGGGAGCGCGGCCATGTGGAAGCCATGGGCGCGCGTGGCATGGTCGCCGTGGCGTGCTTGCCTTCTTGGCCCTCCCTGTCGCCCCCACGCCCACGCTCACGCCCATGCCCGTGCCCGCAGCCATGCGCCTCAAAACCCCATAATATAGATTGTTAAGTGTGTGCCATCGATTTAAAGCGCTAGCGTGATAAACTAAATCCAATAAGAATAAAAATGTACTATTGGAATCTGTTGATTAGTGTCAAAGTTGTACCAAGAAATTATGCCAATATTCATCACATCAACCTTTTTAAATTTAAAAACATGCCAAAGTACCCACCCCTTGCTTCTCGTCCTTTTTTTTTTTTTGAGAAAGCTACGTGTTCATATGAAAATACGGTTACAACACCACATGTAGCTTCGCAAATATAAGGATTTGATCAACCACTACTCCATCAATATGCAATTTATGTACGTATAGACATGCTTTTGTATCATATAAATCGTATATTGAGAGCGCAATCGGCGGTCAAACGGTGTTGACGAAATTCAGTTTACACCATAAGTTAATGAACGGATGGAGTAGTGGTGGTACCACCGGAGCAGGAGGAGAGAAGAGAGCAGCGGCCACCCGATCGACCGTGTCGGCAGTCGACCACCCAACGTATTTACATACGTACGCACGCACGCACGCGTGTCGAGTGCAGCAGGAACAGACCGCGACCCGAATTGCATGGATTTTTTCGTGAAAGGGTGAGCGAGTCAACGGTCGCCATGCAACGTCGCGTACTCGCTGACACGTCTAGACTTTTGTTTTTCTTTTTCTTGAGGACCTCGCACGTCTAGACTTGGCCCTGTGTTTTAATCTTGGTTCAAGGAGGGCCCGTCTATGTCTATATCTATGAGCGATGTATAGATAGATAGATACGTCTGTCTTCTGGAGGCGGCCGGTCGGCGTACGTCGTCGATCCGATTCCGATCGCCGCCGTCCGAATCCATCTGGTCTCTGCACGCCATGGACGGACGGCCATCCACATTTGTGTGTTTGTTTGTTTGTTTGTTTTACACACGTACTCCCTTCGTTCCGAATTACTTGTCGCAGGTATGAATGTATCTAGATGTATTTTAGTTCTAGATACATTCATTTCTGCGACGAGTAATTTAAAACGGAGGGAATAGTAGGAAAAGCAAAAAGGGAAAGAAAGAAAGAGGGTGCAAAAGCAAAGGTGCCGGCCGGAAAGAAAGGGAGAGGGATCTCCCCATCCTACAACAACGGACGGACGTCGGCCCTCGCCGCCGCTTCTTCTCGCCACGCGTGCACGCACCTACTACGTTCCACGGCCGGCCGCATACAGCATAATGGAATCGCGCACACGGACGATCGGTCAAACTTTACGAAATTTAATTTGAGGCAAATCTTATACGCCAAGTAAAAAAGAAACGGAGGGAGCATATCTCATTTGGCCTTCTCGCAAAGAAAAAAAGTTTGTAACATATGCCCTGTCTAGATCATTTTTATTCGCACTTAGCAAGTGTAAAACATCGCCCTTTCTTTTGACAATCTGTAAAACATGACCACTTTTTTGCGAGGGAAACACCACCCTTTCTTTTATCATACTCGCAGTTACAATTTGTGTAAGCTACTCCCTTCATGTCACAAATAAGTGATATTTTGGACACTGCTATGGTCCTTAACACACGTAACTTTGAGCAGCAATTATTTTTTGTGATGTACTATGTATGAAAGCAAGAATACCGTACTACAATTCAATGAATACGTTCCTGGATAAATTAAATATTATACTGTACTACATAGTTATTTTCGAATTTGCAGTCCAGACAATCGGAATGAAGTCCGTACTCGGAGTTTTAGTAATTCAACTACTAAGCACCGACTTGATTGCAAATACAAGTTTAGTTTTGCTATTTGAGTGAAATCAAAATCAAGTCAGTCTGTAAATAGCAGTTCAATTTTTGTCCCCATGGTTCTTTCTAAGAAAGAGATAGATTTATGCATATGCCACCAAATATGTCGCTGGATTAAACAGGAGTACTCACCTACGTGCCCAACACCTAGTGCGGATGGATGCCTAATCCAAAGCTGCACTTTTCTTGCCCTCATATAAAAATCTCACTTGTTCCTGTCTGATCTCTTCTTCTAATTAATTAATTAATTCTCACGCGGGAACACCGGCATAACCAAGGCGATTTAATACTACAGCCAGTGCCACGTATAGACGATGGACAAATACAACCACTCACACGAAAAGATCCACACAAGAGGGATTCGAAAACGATTGACACAAGAAAGGATCGTACCACATGGTTGTGCCATTGTTATAAAGAGTAAGCACGATAAAATAAAATTCAATAAGAATAATACTGTACTATTAGAATCTCGTGATTACTGTCAAAGTTATATTCGAGCCATTTAAAACGAGAACTAATAGGTGAGAATCCTCATGGACAACATATTAAGGGGCCCATCTGGGCGAGATACCGAAATTCGTTCCCGACGGTAACCGAACCTCGGTTAGCAAGGATGTGACACCACAACCTTGCCAATGGGTTACAACCATGTTGATGTTCAAAACAAAGCTTTGATTTAAAGCAGGAGGAGAAAGTACTTGCTTTGTTCCTCTTTCAACGCGTTTCAGTTTAATTAAGGTAAGTAATTGCATTAACAAAGTTTAATAACACACCTTAAATTAAGGACCCTCTTAGATGGTGAACGCTCCTTGGCGGATAGCATTTACGAACGATTTCCATGGCAATTTTACTTGAGGAGGATGGCGCAATTCCTTCACAGGGAAGGCTTTTTTTTGAAAAAAAAAATGTTGTCGTTTGATCTAAAAACATTTGTAAGTTAGCATTGTCCGTGAACCAACCTGTGGTTGGATGGTTAGAGAGGCAGTGGTATCCCAAGCCCACCAAGGTTCAAATTCTGGTGCTTGAATTATTCCTAAATTTATTTCAGGATTTCCGGCGATGCGTTTTCAGTGAGAGGAGACGTTCCCGTCGACGACGAGGCGCCTATGGCGACTTCATAAATCACAAGATGATATGCCGGGTCAGTCTTTCGAAGGTACTCATAGGGGCAGGGTGAGCGTATGCGCGTATGTATGAGCGATTGTGTCTCTACTCATGTTCAAAAGTTAGCATTGTCCCTAAATTATAAAAAATATCTTGTGGAGTAGCACTTTTATTATTTGTACATTAATAGCTCTATAAAAAAGGGGTAAAAGAAAATAGAAAAAAAGGAGAGAGGCAGGAGGCAATAAAAGCGGAAGGAGGAGAGGAGAAAAGCAGAGGAGGGAGGCCAAATCCCACAACTTTAGAGAGAGAAAGCGGAGGAGGAAGGCGACGACTCCTCTCGTGCAGAGCGGACAGAGAGAGGGAGGGAGCGCGGCCATGTGGAAGCCATGGGCGCGCGCGGCGTGACGACACCTGCTTGCCTTCTCGGCCCTCCCCACCGCCCCATGCCCGTGCCCGCGCCCATGACCCCGCCGCCGCAATGCGCCTCAAAACCCCATCTTTGACCCGGCGGGCTCCGTGAGGACCCCTGATCCGGGCCCAGCCATGGCGGAGGCGGCGCCGCCCAAGCTGCTCTACATTGCCGTCGCCGACGGCGGCGGCCGGCGGACCTTCCGGTACACGCGCCCCGTCCTGCAGAGCACCCTCCAGCTCATGGGCTGCAAGGCTCGCCACGCCTTCAAGGTCATCCCCCACCCCTTCCTCCTTCCCCCTTCCCTTTTTCCTCTTTGCTGTCTCTATTGCTGTCTGTGATCTTGATCCCTCCCGAACAATGGAGGGCCGCCCGCCTCCGATTGGAGGCCCTCGTGCGACCTGACGGGACACGCTCGCGCTATGCCGCGATTAGATTAGACTGAGGACGGAACTGCCTGCTCCTACTCTGTTTTAGATGCCACATGGCCAGCACATGTGCAGCATGGTGTTCTGGCGCTGCTGCTTGAATTGCTCCTGCCTGGTTCAGACGATGCAGTTAGGCATGCCCAGCATAGTGTTTGACATGGGAAGGTGACAACTGCCTCTGCCTGCTTCTATTATGTTCTAGTAGATGCCATAGATCCTTCATGTTCATTCATGGACAGCACATGCCTAGCAGAGTGCTGAATTGATTGTTCTTTGCTCAAACGGTGTTGTTAGGCATGCGTAACTTAGTGTTTGGCGATGGGGCGATTTTGACATGGGAAGGTGACAACTGCCTCTGCCTGCTTCTATTATGTTCTAGATTCCATAGGTCCTTCATGTTCATGGACAGCACATGCCTAGCAGGGTGTTGAATTGGTTGTTCTTTGTTCGAATGATGTTGTTAGGCATGCCTAGCATAGTGTTTGGCGGTGGGGTGATTTTGACATGGGAAGGTGACAACTGCTCCACCAATCGATGAGCATACCACGTTCTTGGCTCAATCCAATCCAAACTCCCCCGGGCCGGTCCACTTCCGTTGGATTGGACAGGAAACTCTCATATCCTTTTCGCCATCTTTTGGCCAGGGTCATTCTTTGCAACAAAAGATTGGATCTGATTCGGCGTATTTCGGATGCGCAAAACACACCGTTCCTTTCCAAGCTATTCTTCTTGTTGCAGACTGAATTTGTCTTTTGGTGATACTTTGCTTGGGGGTCATTATCAGCACATACTGTCAGGCAACTGTTGCCCCTCTGCTACACCTAGTGTGAATTCCTATTGCTTTCTTTGCTTTATTATGCTCTGATGACAGAGACGGCACCGTGTTATAGTGATATAGACATCTAGGCTTTGCCTTGCCATGATCTTTATGCTCGGGAACTGTAGCTTGACGGGCTACCGTTCTAGTCTGTATCTTGGAACTGACCTGAGCTCCGGTATCAGGTTCTCACTTGACGTAACTTTCTGTACTCTGATTTGGTGTTGGCTATTTGGCATATCTTGTTTTCCTAATCGTCCATTTCGATTAGCTTCCTAAGCAAATATGCATCTTGGAGTTGACCTGAGCTCTGGCATCAGGTTCTCACTTGACGTAATTTCCTTACTCTGATTTGGTCATCACTGTTTGGCGTATCTTGTTTTTCTCATCGTCCATTTCGATGAGCTTCCTAAGCAAATACGCATCTTGGAGTTGACCTGAGCTCTGGTATCAGGTTCTCACTTGACGTAATTTAATTTTCTTACTCTGATTTGGTCATGACTGTTAGGTGTATCTTGTTTTCCTCATCGTCCATTTCGATAAGCTGCAAAAGTAATATGCCGGTCATGTGCTCAACTTTTTTTATTGGTGTGTGGAGTTTAACAGTGTTTTTTGGCACCGTCAGATTAGCAAGAGAGTGTTCAGTGTGATGAGGAATGAATTCTTGGATGTGTCGAGATCGGATAGGGCTATTAAAGATGAAAATGCCCCTAGCCTAGGCATTGGGGAAGATGCTGAGATGCTTAACACAGAAATTCCAGACGCAAGTAGCAGCAGCTTGCCCTTCGAATTGTACAAGACGCAGACAACGATTCTTGTTTCAAGAGAGAGGTTTCTGAATATCGTGTGTGACGCACTCTCTTCTTACAAGTATGTTGGACCAAACCAGAAGGCTGACTTTCTTCTTGCTTGCAGGTAACTTTACCCTATCTTTTTCTTATTGAGTTCATACGAATTACTAGCAATCCAACTAGCATGTTTATTCATCAATTTAATTTACAGCTCCTAGTCGTCTATATCTTCCACAACTGAACAGGATTAGGATAGACATTTATGCTTAGCATGCTTTGTTAAAGTCAAATGATTCCTTTGAAAAAAGCCAAATTATTCTTATGAGCACGGTGCATGCATTATGCTCCAATGAAATATGCATATATTACCCAAGTCATTTCAGGGCACCCATAGGGTAGCTACTCGATGAATTCAACGGCAGCTAATTTTTGCAATTCTGTCTTTTTCCAATTATTCTTATCAGAATTAAGGAGAAAAAGGAATCGGTGACAGTACTCTTGTGTGGGACAAGCGGATGCGGCAAGTCCACCCTATCGTCTCTGTTGGTATGTTAATTTTCTAACCTAAGAGTCAGCCATTTCTGAAAGGTGATAGCTAATACTATATATAACGCCAGTGACACAGTAGTTTGGTACACACAGAAGCATTTAATGATAAGTATCTGCATGTCAAATACTCCCTCCGTCTCATAATGTAAGACGTTTTTTGACACTACACTAGTGTCAAAAAACGTCCTATATTATGGGACGGAGGGAGTACGTACCAATTTAAAGCGCTTTGATACCTTTCCTGCTCTGTTGTGTTTCTTGTTGCTTTTAGAAGATTGCACTGTAAATTAAAGAGATACGTGATGCTGACTCCTTTCTGAATGCTAAATACAGTCTGTTTGTTTTATCCAGGGTAGTAGATTGGGCATGACGACAGTGGTTTCTACTGATTCTATACGCCATATGATGAGAAGCTTTGCAGATGAAAAGCAAAATCCTCTTCTCTATGCGTCAACCTACCATGCAGGAGAATACTTGGACCCTGTTGCAGTTGCTCAGTCAAAGGCTAAGCGCCAGGCAAAGAAGCTCGCAATGGTTTCTAATCCTAACACAAATGAAGGCCAAGATGACACTCCAGATGTTAAATCTCGTCACGGCTCCTCAGTATTACCTCCTAGGACCGAGCTGATTGGCAGCAAACAAATGGCAATAGAAGGGTTCAAGGCGCAAAGCGAGATGGTCATCGACAGCCTGGACAGATTAATTACATCCTGGGAAGAGCAGAAGCAATCTGTTATTGTTGAAGGAGTTCATTTGAGCCTCAATTTTGTGGTGCGTACTAGTCCAGAAGCAACACTGATATTCTATTACAGCTCTTGCGTCGTTTACCTGTTATATATTTTGTTGCACTGATGAATTGACTAAGCTATATTTTATTTTGAATATCTAATAGATGGGGCTAATGAAGAAACATCCTTCCATAATACCATTTATGGTATACATTGCAAATGAGGAGAAGCACATGGAACGGTTTGCTGTGCGCGCAAAGTACATGACACTGGACCCAGCAAAGAACAGATATATCAAGTACATCCGGAACATCAGGGCTATTCAGGAATACCTTTGCAACCGAGCAGACAAGCATCTTGTGCCCAAAATTAACAACACTAATGTTGACCAGAGCGTGGCAGCGATACACGCCACGGTTTTCAGCTGTCTTCGCCGGCGAGAAGTTGGGGAGCAGCTGTATGACCTCAACACAAACACTGTTCCTGTAGTGGATGAGGAATACAGGAACCAGCGTGCAGCTAACTCCTTGGGTTCCAAGGGCATGTTCCAGTTCATTCAAAGGAAGGGGTCTTCGAGGAATCTGATGGCTCTCCTTAACCCTGATGGTTCGGTGACTAAGGCTTGGCATGTAGATTCAGGTGATGGCAATGCTAATGGCAGTACAGGCAGTGGTAGATCAGTAGGGAATCATATGGTTAACCCATCACAAATTGGGAAGGCAGAGTCAGTTAATCTCCAGTTTGGTTCTTTTGGGATTAGCGCGTGGCTGAGTGACACAGGCGGTGGCACCAGCCATACTGGAAGTGTAGATGACCTGAGGGCTGATGGGATCGAGACAAGCGGTAGATACTTCTCCTCATGCTGCAGCTCACCAAAAACGTCAGACTGCGCCTCCAAAGAGGTATGTGTTGTGCATCAACACTAAGATATGTTTGTTATTAATACTGACAGTAATGTGTTAATGTTTTTTTAGTCGATTGCTGATGCTATACATTCCGATCTAACGACTGCTCTGGTGACCTTTCTCCAGCATATGGAGGATTATTCAGTCTATGGTAGTGAAGAGGATGCTGACGACCCACCTGATGCTGAAACTGATGAGGATCTAACTGATGAAGAAAGGGATGCTCATGAGGTAGCTACTACTCCTATGTTATACAGCAATTTTCCCAGTGGGATTTACTTGTATTGTGGTAGCAGCCACTTGATTGCAGTTGCTGCTTCCTAAAACTCTTGCAAATACATTGTGCCTTATACCAACCAGGAATGGCAGTTGAAAGCGTGCCTCATTTCAAAGCTAAATGTTTTCTGCACCAACCATTTCCTCCAGATTGAAGCGGGCTCCGTCGACGAGCACTCCACCAAGTCTGACGAGGAGTACGACGACCTAGCCATGCAGGACGTGATGGGGAACGGCAACTGCTCCGACGACGACGAGCAAGCTGCAGGGTACGGCACCAGGGGCTCACAGCCCATGGAGGAGAGCATCCTTGGAGCAGATGGCGCCGTGGTGGAGGGCAGGTACCACCACAACCTGGACCTCTTCACGATGTCCAAGGACGTCGCCGCCACAAAGATGCCGTGCGCGTGACACGGCCTAACCCGACCAACCCCTGGGGGAAGAAAGACACCACTGCCACGGTTCACTGTCAGCCTTCAGCCGCGGTGCTCTTGGGCACATTCTCCGGTGGTGCTTAGGAGTCTGCACCGGTTACTGTACCCATATGAGCTTATGTTGGTGGTTGTGACTGTTAGAGGATCTCATGCTTGGCTATATATAGGAATCCTGGTTTGTCGAAACTCGAATAATGAAAAGTTGAAATTGCATTCTGAATTTGCGCAAGAATATATTCTGTCAGAAGTCGGTGGACACATACTCCACCCACCAGTTTCGAAATATAAGGCGTATTTTAACTGTGCAAGATCATGCTTTGAACAACAATTCATCTAATCACATTTTAGATCAGTTATGAGTTGTGACACAAATTTATTTTTCTAACCGAGGCAACTGGGTGTAGTTAACATTAAGTTGCCTCACTATCTGTCAGTGCAACAAATTCAGCCAATTCCGCTCTTTCAACGGCTATTATGAGCGTGCAAATGTTCCTGTGATGAAACTAAGAATATTAGTCAAATAATGTGAACTCTCAATGAAAATATTTTATGCATCGTTATGAGGAAATAAGAGGAAAAATATGTCGCAAGTCGAGAGACAGCTTGAAAGAGTAAAATTAGCTGGTGGAGATATCAAACACCACGGAAAAAGATGGAAAAAGATACATCGACCACACATGACAACATAATAAAAACATTGGTACTTCCAGAGCTGCATGCAGACATTTCATAGACAGAACATAATAAAACATTGGTACTTCCAGAGCTGCATGCATTCATTTCATAGACAGGCACTCATTTGATATCTGTGAAACCTCCTTTACAGAGACTGAAACATTTGATTTCTGCGAAACATCAGTAAAATAGGAAATTTTTACAAGAGATGGAAACCTTATACACTGATGAAACCCAAGGCAAAAGGATCTACAGGTGTCCTTGCTTCCCATCATCATCTAACCCTAAATATTTCAGCTAATTTTGCTTCCATGCTTTGCCTTTCTTATATATATATTTATATATGTATCTTACTCGAAGAGGAAAAAACGGTACAAATATACAACTTCTCTCCTTTTGAACAAGTAAAATCTCTTCTCTTTCTCTTTATTCCCAGAGGCCCCCTCCTTTATTTACAATCAAAGGCTTTCGCGAGCTCCGACGACGGCACTGGACAACGACTACTGGTAAGGCTAGCCTCGCTATCTGTCTGTACAGGGGTTATTCTGTCAAACTAACCATTCAATCTCTGCAAGACTGCGACGAGACCCCGATATGCCTTTCTGCAAATGAGAAAAACAAATTAAATCCAAATGGAAAAGGGTTTGCAAAGGCATGCAGATTATGAAGCAATAAGCAAACGCCTCCATGACCATGCATCTTAAAAAGGAAGAAGGATGAATTGCAGTAAGGATGACCAAGAGGGGCTTTGGAATCTGGTACCTCCTGCGGCTATAAGCTTCTCCACCCGGGCAACAATATGTTTCCCGTAGGTGTATCTCTTCAGTGCGTTAAGGTGGACCTTGATACGCGAAAGAATCAGCTCACGGTTGTGGTCGTCGCAAGTCTCCAAAACCTTTTGCACTACATAGTTCGCAAACTGGTCTTTCATCATTGCCTGGAAAGCAGAAGCTAGACGTCAGAAGACTGAAATTGCCCAAAAATACAAGCTTTAGAACAATAAAGACGTGGTATCCACATCTGCGCCTTGAAGCAGCAGATGAGGAAACGGAAAACAGTTTCACACATATAGCATGCTGAACAAATTCTGTTCCTCAAGACATAGACAAAACAAGAAATAGCTTGTGCCAATAATTATACCAAAATTCAGGAGCCACAGCACATAAGAGCTATATTCATGTAGTCAATAAATATCCATTTTATTTCTACACAGAGCAAGTTCTGCAACAAAGAACCAGTATGCTTAAACAGCTGATTGAAAACACACCTGTAATGGCTCATTCTCATCAGTAGTACCAAGCATTTCATTAATTAGAATCTGGCGCTCCTCAGGAGAACCAAAAGACAGACACTTCTCAACAACGTTGGAAGCAAATTTCTGTTGGCTCATCTTCACGATCTGTCCAGCAAGCTGCTTAATTATAGAAGTACGTTCTTCTGGTTTCCCGTGTTGCAAGACATGCTACAAAACAAAGAAACCAAAAGCCCTTTGTGTAAAGTGGGATACATGAAACTTTCAACTAGGTAATCGCTAGTCTATACAGTAATACGAGAAAGTGGTAAACAGAAGGAAAAAAGTACAAGAAAGTGGTAAACAGAAGAAAAAAACTCTCCATATATAATATCATATATCGGCATGATAGATCACACCGAACAAATCAACACACTTTGTGGTACTGGGCAGAAAGTATGAAGAAAACAGTACAAGCACATTCGGTAATTAGAAACTACTTCCAACGAGATATAAAAACTAGAGAAAGAGCATTTACATGATATGCAACTGCCAACTTGATAGAAGAAATCCAACATAAACCATCCCTCCCACTAATTTAATATACTAGGCCTGAGTGAAATTGTCCAAACGACAAATATTTAACAAGTAGGAGTAAATGAATAAGCATCTACCTGGATAACATAATTGCCATACTGGTCTTGTGTCAAAGGAACCACACACTGCATGATCTCCTCCATCATGGCATTTTGCGTGCTTTCATCATCACAGTGCTCCAAGACTCTCTGGTGGTAGTCAATACAGGTAGGTAAATTTAGTAGATTGTGAATGAAACGCATCCATTAAAACCAGATATAGGTTGATATAGCACCTGAATAACACGGCAACCATATGGATGGGTGGAAAGTTCAACCACTTGTCCATAAAAAGCAGAAATGATGAACTGTATCCTTTCTTGAGGGATGCATTCTATGCACTTCTGGATTACATGGTTGCCATTCTGATCACGAACCAATTTCAAGATAATTGTGTTTCCGTCAAGCTCCAAAGCCATTTGTGTTTGTTGCTCCACGCCAACCACTTCTAAAGCCTACAGAAAAATATGATGTCCCTAAGACTGTAAACAGCTGTCCATAACTGATTTGGTAGGAAAAAGTTTAGTTTGTAGCAATACATACCTTCTGAATAACCCGGCAACCATACATTTGTGTACTCAGCGTATATACATGACCCTTGAGTAGGTTTGCCAATTGCTTCTGTTGTGGTTCAGTCCCATACTCGAAGAACTGCCAAGAACAACAAATTAGGCTGAGGTCTTAAAATAATAAGATAACCTCGAAAATCGTTAATAAGTAAATCAATTTGTTCGATACAAATGCATAAGATAGTTGCTCACCTTCTGTATAACATAGTTCCCAAAAACATCAGTCATCAACGTTCGTGCTTGGGGAAGTATTTCTGGAAAAATCATGTTCTTCTCTTCAGTAGAAGCTGTTTCAAGTTTCTGCTGTATAAAGCGACTCCCGTACTGATCCGAGCTGCAGAGGGAGAATCATATTAGTATCCCACATAAAGATAAACACAGCAACTATACTCAGTTTAAATCCAGGAAGTAATACCTGAACTCGACCACATGACCTACAATATCTAGCAGCTCAAAAGATCGGGTCTTATTGGTCTTGAATTCCTCCAGCAGAGTAGACTCATAAGCATTATCTACCAGACCATTCTCTGAACTCCATGATCCCATAGCTCCTCCAGTGGTGCTCCTTGCCATGGATGGAATACGTGTTGTTAGCCTATCCCCTTGCCTGGCATGACCCTGGGGAGATGGGATAAAATGGCTAGATGTTGGACTTGATAAATATGCCATGTCCATGCCATATGCTTGTTCACTGCCATAAAGAGTTGGGCTAAGACCACCAGATTTGCCCATGTATGGCATTCCATACTGTAGCTTCTGCTGAGCAAGTAATGATGCAAGATAAGCCTTTTGATATGCAGCATTATCCATGTGGCCTGAACCAGAAAAGTTACTTCCCCGGAAAGGACTCATGCTTCCAGCTGCACCAAGGGGGGAGTTGGGGTTTGCCTGCAAGTAAGGGGCATAGACTGCATCCATTGGTTGGACCTGATAACCAGTCCCCCTTTGATTTGAAAGAAGGTTGGCATATTCACCATCTGGACAGGAAAACACAAGTCAGGAAACAATGGGAACACACACACACACACACACACACACACACACACAGGGAGAGAGAGAGTACCAGTATTCAGGTGATTATTCAGCATGGACGAGCCAGAACTTCGTGAATTAGCCTTTGCATGTCGTCCAGGTACATCAATGTTTGAGCTATCACCATTCAGGTTTTGGTAGAGATACACAGGTCCAGTCGGGCTCAGCAAAGATCCTTTCTTGTGCCCATTACCATGCTGTGATTGTGTAGGGAACTTGCTGTTGCTTTCAGCTGCCAGTTTACTCATATTTGGATTACTCAAGTTACTGCTACCATTTGGAAAGACTGCATATTCCAGGGCATTTATCGGTTCTTCATCAGCATTATGAACTAAATTATGTGGAGAAAACTGTCTATGCTCCTTCGGAACATTATTAAAGAGCACATCTCTTTGATCGCCACCAAAGTTCTGGTAAATATGATTTTGCACATCACTTTCTAAATTGGCCATGTTGTTCCCCGAGAGGTTTAAACTGGACATAGCAGATAGAGCTGCTGCAGTGTCAGAACCATCATGATTACGAGAAGCAACATTTCTGCCTTCAACCATTTTATCAGCTTTTCCCATCCTAACTCCAACTGGAGGAAGGCAAGGGCTTGGAGCCCTCTGCATCAACTGAGGGTCAGGGGTGGTGCTTCTTGAGATCGAAGAGCCTACTGCAGAAGCAAATGTGTGCGACATTGAAGAACCTAAACTTTGTACCCTGACAAGACTGGGTGAAGCCGTTCCAGACCGAAAGCCATTCATAGATTCTGACCTACTCTGAAGTTGTGCCTTTGATGACTCAGAGGACCTTACTTGATTTGGGCTCTCAAAAGCATTTCGGCTATTAGAGCGTGAAAGATTCTGGCCCTCAAAAGCATTCCGGCTATTAGAGCGTGAAAGATTTGGGCTCTCAAAAGCATTCCGGCTATTAGAGCGTGAAGGATTTGGGCTCTCAAAAGCATTCCGGCTATTAGAGCGTGAAAGATGACCAGCTTTAGAAGCAGGATGGCTAATATTTTCCTGTCATGGAAACCACTGTAAATTAGATAACAAAACAAACCGGGACTTACATGCTAGTACAAAATAGTCTTACAAGTGATGCATTGTAGGAGTAGCCTGTCAGTATAAGTGCAAAGACAATTTAATTCCATTCATATAAAACATGTACTTCTACTTAAGGTTAAAGAATCTATTGCAGAGCAAATGCAATAAGAAAATATTTTCAACCTGCAGGGCATCCGCAAAGCTCTTGCGACGGGAGGCGAGGCCATTGACATCAGACAACCCAATAAGCCCATCAGCGGCTTGCCCAAGCCACTCCGATGATTGCTGACGTGCGAGGCCATTCCTTTCACCTCTGCCCATCCTATCATTCAGGAGATAGTCCACTCCGTTGGCTTCGCGTGCTCCTGGCTGCACCGAGAACAGAGAGCTCCCACCAGTGGCCTCCGAGGGCCGCCTCCTCCAGTCCCCGATGCCCCCGGAGGCAGCCTGGAACCTCTGTGCCACGCGCCAGTCCTCCTTGGACACCATCGGCACCGGCAGCCTCGGGTTGAGGTGCTCGTTGTTGTAGTAGTACTGCAGGTACGCCGGGTGAGACAGAATCTCCTCCTCGGAGAGCATGTCGGCGCCGCCGAGGCCGCTGTTGTCGACGTGGGCCGGGGGCGCGGCAGAGAAGAGCGTGCCGACTGCGGCGCGGGCGCCCTGGACGGTGGGGGGAGCGCTGCCGCTGCGGTACATGCTGAGCTCCTCGGCGGAGGTGCCTCCGCCGCCGCCGTGGTGGTTCTGGTCCATGAGCACCGCCTGCAGGTCGCGCTCGAGGTCCTCGAAGGTGGGGCCCGCCGGAGACGGAGCCATCGCCGCCGCAGCCTTGTTGGTCACCTAGCCGGCCGGCTCTGTTTCCTTCCTTCCTTTCCGCCTTCGTTCCCACACGAAACCTGAAACGAGAAAACATCAGGACGGTGATTAGAACTCCGAATTTCACACCCAGATTAAGGAGGAACGCGCACGAAGCTTGGGGAAGAAGAACTGGATGAACTAGAGAGAAAACGATCAGAAGCAGAGAAGCAGAAGCAGGGCCAAGAAACCAAACACGAGCGACATGGAATCGGCTGAATTCCAAGCTGATTTCGTCAATTTCTCTACCCGGATAGCAGCAAGAGGAACCCCAAGAAAAGAAATCCCACCTTTTAGGGGCGGACCTGCCGAGGGTTCAAGCAACTGAACCCCTAATTTCCTTGGAGAAAAAATCAGCAAACCCACTGGCTACTCCGTCGAAGCAGCGAACAAATCGGCAACGACGGGCGGATTGGGGAGGAAGCAAGAGAAACATCAACAGACTCCGGGAAGAATAATAATCCAAGCAGGTCGAGTTAGGGTTCGTCACCTCCGACGGACGGACGGGGGGAATCAATCGGAGCCCCGGCGGACGGACGGATCCCCGCTCCACGCCAGTCCGGCGGAGCG